AGAAACCTACACCACAGGGGGCGCTAATGCCTGAACCGCCGCTTGCGCACCTTTTTCGCGTTATGCGATAGGTCGAGAGAATAGCTAAAGATCTGCGCATGACCACCAGATCACGTGGCGAGAGACGAGCTCTCGGATAGGTAGAGAGACGGAGATAGAAGAGTAGAGAACATGGCGAGAGGTGTGTGTCACATGTAGAAACCGCGAAGAGTTAAGTGTGTATCTTCCATGCGAGTAATAAAGTATTGACAATAGAGTTCTGAGTGCAATTCGACTAGGCGCTATCCCTATCGCCCATTTATCCAAGGTGTTCCCACTGATCAGCTTGGTTCGCCTTCCTGGCACTTGTGCGTAACGGACGTTACTGCTAAAGGAGATTCATAACCAATAAGTTGGCTATCTTCTTTTATACTGTGAGGCCTTGCTTTTGGCACAGCCGGTCTCTTACAGAAATATGTCCTCAGGTAATCCTATGGATTACGTTTCAATTTGGATCAAACTGGGATTATTATGATCAAATTAGGATATCCTATGAAGATCTATTGCTATGTGGATATAGCTTTTATAATCTTATTTACCCACAAATCATGCAATATTTTTATATTTTAGGCTATCTAATATAGCAATTCTACAGCTAATAGAAGAATTAATAAATTTTATGCCAATTCCAAAAAGAACAATTGCATATTCACATTCCTCCATATTCACACGCGTAATATTTCACTTTTTACTCCCGTGAAATGCTCCCATAGGGATTTCGTATTTTTATTTTCACTATAGCCATTTACATTTTTATTTTCAATATAGCCAATCGCGCTTTTTCATATACCATGAAAGTGCGAAAAGTGAGAACATTCGACAAAAATACACAATCGACCCCGGGCCCTATCTCTTTCTGTATTGTGTGCTCTCCGACTCAGGACAGCGATCATGTAACTTCGAGCGGAACTTTTCATTTTTCACTTTTCGCTCTATCGATTTCACTTGAACTTTCTCATTGTTCACGCAATCAAGTAACTCTATGCGTAAAAAGTACAAATCACTAAACATGGTTCCTATATTATTTCAATATCCGCCAAATCAGCTGTATCCATCGGCTGTAGAACATATAACCTTAAAAACATCGCCTGTAAAATATAACCTGTTATATTTTCTGTATCTCATCACAGCAGTAGCATAATATATTCCGTATTAATCATGTCACTAGATTTTCACTTTTCCGCTAGCACATTTCATGGCTAACAAGTTCACGTGAAAAGGTTTCTATGTTTCTACGCTTCGCCGAGTAGTGATCACGAGTTTACGTGAAACTTTTCACTTTTCACGTTTCTGCCCTAGGGAAAAAGTTACATGATTGCTGCCCAGGCGATGGATCATATCGGGGTCCAGTTTGTAGGGATTTGCCAGACTCGATAGTCGGATCCTTACTCTCCACCGACACTATCGTTCGTCGGAGATGAAATAACTACACACGAGACGTTTCTTCTTAACAATAACGTTTACTGAAGATTCGAATACAAGTCTGAGATCTTATCTGTTATGACGCAATCGACCGACTTATACTGCAATTCTAGACAAAATCGTAAAACTCGTAACTTGCTTTCATAAGACTTGTAAGAACTTATGAGTAGATTTGCAATTCTATGCGGACCGTATGTCATATGATAACTCGTAAATATCTACGATTCTTTTTTGTTTTTTTCGTAAGCTATGACTTTACAATTTTACGATTTATTCATATATTTGCTTAGAATTGCAGCATTAGTGTTCCCGTATATTTCTCTTAGGCACGGGGCAAGTAATATCTAGACGAGTGATATGGGACGCGTGCAGCAGACAAAGAAAGAAAAATCCCCACAATCCTTACAACGGAGAATATTTCAATAATTAATGTGTTCATCTTATTGAAAAATAAAGTCGAAGTTTGCCAAAAAGCGGCACGAATTAATTTATACACTTAATATAAACAAATATAAAAAGGAATATAAAGAGGAATAATGTTCATAAGTATAACTATAAAATATATTTTTATTGTTAATTTAAAAAATATTTTAAGAAATAATATATTAAATAACATTATACAAATTATTTTAGAGCATTTTTATACATATACTAAAGATATAATCAGGTTATAAATACTTGATTTACACATCTCATTTAATCTATTATAACTCGATGCAATATTGTTATTAAAAAAAAATATATATATATATAATCTCATTCACAAAATGCTGTATTTTCATCAATGTACGTCAATTTTTGTGAAAGTGAGAATTATAATCCTTCTAAACATTTACGTTTGTAACGCACTTTCTGAGTTCAACGAGTTACAAGTTTAAGCATAATATTTAAAACTCGTGTTCAATTATTTGAAATCTTTAATGATCTTGAATCATAGCTCATTAAATCTGTCATGAGAGTTACAAATGTAGGTATTCAAAAAAATTGATTCCTTTTTCAAAGAAAATGCATTTATTTAAAAAAATAGATTTTGAGTGGA